AGCTCGCAATTTCACTTCCGAGAGAAACATCCCGGAGAAGAATACACTCCGTATGCCTCGTAATATTGTCTGACATAGGCAAAGAGAATCCGCGACCGTTAAACGTGATCCGAAAACGTTGTCACGTGAACTTACCGGTGGGTGTGTTCGACAATTTTCAAAGCTCGAAATACGTGAAACTCGTATCTCGAAGGAAGCTAAGAAGCTGGAGGGAAGTCGACATAAACTGAAAGTAACATAAATCAATGCCTATATACAGCGTAGACCACCAAGAAACATTCTACAGACGTGTCGAGGACGTCTACGTTCTAAGAACATTCGCAGGACATCCTTCGAATAAAGTGTGCTGTGTGGGTGTCATAGGCCGGTATTCATAGTCGGTTCTTATTTCAAGATCGTCTTAAATAATGTCTTATGACACTAATGCGGCTCTCTGATTAGTTTGTGACGCCTCAAGACAGAACTTAAGACGATCTTGAATATAAGGACTGACTATGAATACCGGTCAAAATTTCCTATTTAATAATATAAGATCTATTCTTCTTTTATGGAATTAAACTTCTTGCACGATTCATCTTTTTTCTTTTTCTTTTTATATTGGAGAATAAAAACAAAAGATAGACCGTGCAAGAAGTTCAGTTCTGAAGTATGGAAAAAAATAGGCTTATAAATGTAATATAACTTAGAAAATTACAATAATTTTTACATTATCAAGTTAAATAAGGTTACTGTTTAACTATAAATTATTTATATAAATAACTATAAATGACGAAGTGTGTTACATAACAGTTACACCGTTGAGTTCAAAATTATAACATTGATGTTATGTTACTTTTAATTGGTGTCGACTGCGTCGTATCTCGAGGGAATAATCTCCCTGGGCTATATTCAGGCAGTTCAGATTCCCACCCGATTACCACCCATGTATCATCCTTGCTCTTCGCCGATCATTAAACACGGATGAAATGATACCCGACTGGCGCTCGAGTGGGAATCTGAACGCGCCTTTGCGAGTCATAAAACGATCAGTCTCCAGCGTCATGCGTGCGTGTTGGTCGTCGGTTTGTTCTATCATTGTTGGACACTGCTATTTTTATAAATAGCTGAACCATGAAGCGAGTAAGAAAGAAAACGTCTGCCAACGTCAACAGTAACGAGTCTAAAGTCAGTCATAACGAGCGCGTCGCGCGACGCATGAGGGAACGTCGCAACCTTGACTGGCGCTTTGGGTAGGCTATGATCCTCTCTCGTGATACCTGGTAGGCATCGCGATCTAGGACATCCTACTTAGACGCGCGTGCGTCAGGTGCTTTGAAACTTTATGATGCATTCTGCGACGTGTCACGCTACTTATTTGTTATGCCGCGTCAACCGCCAATCGTCGGCGTAATCGGCTTGAGAACAAAGGAACGTCACTTTCATTCGCGATTATCATGTTTTCTCTTCGTCACTGATTACCGTAGAACGCTATAGTCAAGCGTAGACAGCGCGGTACACCTGTACTCGATTTAGAATTTTTTCAACATCTATATTTCCTTATATTGTCTCTCGCGTGCTTACTATTTTGAATAAAATCACGATGATCACGGGACCACCATGATCACATGATTGGGTTTAAACGTGTTGGGTTTAAATCGCTCACCATTGGCGGCTGCGAGCCCGACGATGCATATCCAGCACAGGGCCAGTCTCCAGAAACGGTCAGCCATGTCCATTCTCCGGGTAATTACGAAACGCCCGCGGATCATGTAGTCGCGATTTGCGTGAGGGATAGGTAAACAAAGGAATAAAGAAAGGAGGAACGGATGCGGAAGAGGAAAGGATGGGAAAGAAGAGAACCGAATATTTTTCTACTATCCGCGAAGGGCTCTCATTTAGATGGACGCGGCTAGGCCCGGGCGTAAGGAACCGATTCTCCTCTCACTATCCGCGAAAGCGGATATCTTACACCGCGAATATTTTCGCTGATAATGAAAAATCCGAGAACTCGCCGGAATGAGTCCTGATAAAGACGCGCGAGCGATGTTCCCCGTGCGAACACGCGAGAGACACTGATGGAATAAGAGAGTGGCGGGAGAGTTTGAACCGCCAGCAGACCCAGACTGCAGCATCGACCAGTGGCGTAGAAGTGTATCAAACATTGCGATGAAAGACAAGTTTATATCTTATTGTACCTCGAGTGTTAATCAAATGTCAAAACTAACCGATGCAAACTATGAGAGACTTATTTCTTTCATTTGATTCACAGTAATTCAACCTTACGTAAGCAAGACCGAGACCTTGAATACACCAATGTAATGTATGAAGATTGTGATGATGTTCTTGTATTTAAATTTTCCTCATTTTATGTGGCTGTTCTTTTCAATTTTATTACACAGATTAGTTTTAACAGTTAGAAAAAGATTAGGAGAATAAATTAAACCGGGATTCACAAGTTAATCTATATTGGTAGAAATGGACGTTAGCCGGATTTAGACTCGACCTGTTTCTACCAATATAGATTAACTTTAATCTCAGTTCAACTTACTCAGCATTTTTTTCTAATTCTTAGAACTAGAAAAAGATGAAGAGTTAATTAAATCAGGATTAAAATTAAACTATCTCTTGGTGGAAACGAGCATCCGTATCATTCGTAGCGGGCATGACGGGGCCTCTTGTACGCCACTGTCACCGAGAAACAAAAGACACACGGATGAGAAAGTGGCAGCCGCAGCAAAACGATCGCAATGGTACGATCGCACGTATGCGTTCGGACTCGCGTGTGTACGTGGCGCGCTTATCTGGTAACCGGAATGAGCTTGCGGGCCGGAATAACCGCGGGAAGGTATAACAAGTTCCACGCGCTAATTGATTTATAGGCTGAAGAAGATTCATCGAGGTATTCAGATAGAGGCGTGTTCCATCACCCTGCAATCGATTGCGCCGATATAGCGATACGCGAGATCTTGCGCCAGGATTTGGGCCTCACAAACGCGGTCTCGATACCTCAACGAATCGTGAGTCGATATCGTGCAGAAGAACCTTTTATATACGGAACGAGTTATCTTTTATTTCTTTTTTTTTCTTCTTCTTCTTTTTGTCTTTTGCCGAAGCACGGTCGGGCAGCGTTTTAATGTAGGCGTGTGGGGCCAACGGCACCTCTCGCTCTGGGCCTTACATGGATACATCGTGAGTCACTGCCCAAAGCGGCGTATGTAAATGTGTTCTGCCTACTTTATTCATACGCCCAGGCTTCATGTGACCAGTGCCGCAGATAACAAAAAACGATTATTAACAGCCTAACGACGATATTTTATCGAATACTATGAATTAATAGATATCCATTGGCAAGTTGGAGAATAAATGATTACCAGCTGACGTGGGGTCACGTGAAGAGGCGTGTGAACTTTTTCGATCAATATAATTGATGTAAAATTCAAATGTGTTTGTTTCCTCCGAGTCAGCAATTTTTACGACGAGAGCCAATAATGTCGACGTGTTGTCGTGGCAATTTGTCGACGAGGGAAGAGACAAATGTAAATTTACTTGTACCTAAGAACCTCGAGGTCTGCTGGGCCTCAACAAGACCCAGACAAGCGGATATCTGTCCTACGGGGCCCACGAGTATCATCTTCGTGATTCTTCGTGAGAACTCGTACCCAGTCGTATACGATACTTCTTAGCCATTATTGGCTTCTGGTGAAAGTGTCTGACTAGATATTTCGTAACCAGATATCAGTATCGGAATGAAATCTTGTATCTTGCAGATATCGCGGATTTAAGAATTGCAAAATATAGAACTTTTCTGAAACATTATTTTAACGTTTAACGTTTCTCTCTCTTTTTTTTTCTATTTGCATTTTCATCTCCACTGATTCACATTTTATAAAAATTTACCATGTAAGAAATAAAAATAATATAAGAAAAATTTTATATGCCGTGAAATTATAAAGCTGTAATAATAAAATAAATCAGACGAGATTGCAAAACATATGTTCTTAACTGTCATAAAATAGCATCTGTAACTTTGATAAAACAACGAAGATCGACGCTTTTTGCTGAGGAATACTTCGTTAATTAAGCGTTAAAACGACATTAATCCCGATTGAGAGGGCAAGCCGCTGAGAGGGCCGTCAAGCAGAACGGCAAGAGGCGTGTGTGCATTGTTTTTTCTGGTATGCCAACCGAAGCTATATTAATCAAATACGCCGTGCGTCGTATAATTTAAATTCCCGTTAATCCACCGAACTCGCGTGCGCATAATATTGTCTCTTTCTGTCGTGATTACGTGGGGTAACCGATAATTGCTAACGCGCGATTACGTTAACAAAGTGCGAATAATAAAGGAAAAATCAACATTATTGTCGTCGTTGCGAGCGAACCTAATCGGCTGTTACGTTCGATTTCCAATAACGCTAATAAATTCGCGATGGCATACCCTTTTGCGGAAACAACGGTTTCCACTGTTTCACGCCCTCATTAGAGATCTCTCTTCTTCCCTTCCCCTTTTTTAATACAACAAAACACACTGTACGTTATCGTGGATACTAATTATGGTCTCCTTACGAGATAATGAAATAATCTTACTGCGCAAAGCTCGGGAGACCGCTGACTTCCTTGAGAATTTTTTCAGCAAGTCGCTCGAGTGCTTTATTAGTCACGGAACAGGACGACTACGCGACGGCAAATTAATATCGTGGGATTAGTTGGTCTTGATTAAAAGGATTCGCTCGCTTATCGTCGACTAATCGTCCCTCTCATTCACGTAACAATTGCAAACTATCGTAAGGATCTGGTCACAGCCGTTAGACGTGTCTCTTCTTCATGCCGAATCTTGAGAGTTGTTCTTTTTCAAAGCATGTTTTCAACTGGTGTACATTTTTTGATACAGTAAGTTGGAATGAAACAAATATAGTTTGTTTCACTCCAACTTATTACACCAGTTTAGAATATTCTTTGAAAAAGAACAGACCTTTGGTTAATCCATTTGTGTTAAATGACAACAATATATGTGACTTGTACAAGGTATATATTTTACAAAAATAAATACACGACGTTCAACGTCCCTACTTCCGAGCAAAATACAATACGTTCTATGTACAACGCACACAGTATATCACCCAGCAAACAAGTTGAAGCTCTTATCATCATTTTGACATCATTTCAAAATGTCATTTTGACGTTAAAATAACAATAAGTAACGTTAGCTTGTTTACTGGACACCTTTTCGAGGAATATACATATTAATTTATTGTACAATCACATCGCTTATCGCGCTTCAACGCGACATAGATAAAAATCTAAAATAGCAGAACGATCAGAAATTTAACCAGCGATAATAACTTCGTGTGTTTATCTTACTATCTCCACGAAACGTAAGACATTTTTCTAAGTACTACGAATACTAGTTTCGTCAGGTTAACGAAATCTCATAAGAGTGCAAAAGGAAGCAGCGACTATCACGAAGTACAGGCTCGCCCTGAAACTATCGGTCGAGCTGGAGTGCTGATTCAAAATCTGACACTGCGAATTCCTATAATGTTTGACGTTCCCTTCAGAGTCACGCGCGAGCACGCAGAGCTCGTATTTGGTGTTCGACCTCTTCAGATCGTTGATTTTGAAGGATCTCTCGCTGTAAACGATATCCTTTTCGAGCATGGATTTACTGCTACCAGATTCCCGAATCACCACGTAGAAGTCGCCGATATCTTCGCGCGACGTTACGTACCACGTCGCTTTCCAACTTTTATCCTCGGTATTGCTAAAGAAAATTGTAATTTGTCATCTCCGAAGTTTTCGAGAAAATTTCAAACGATATATTTATGATAACAGAAATTAACGATGAAATATATTACATACTAATCAATGCTTCGATATTTCACATCAGGTGTGATATCGAGTTCGGGCTCCTCTTGAATATCCCTCTCGCCGCAGTTCGTAAGATCCTCGGTTACTTCCGAGATAAATTTATTTGCGAGATAATTTGGACTTTTACACATCACGTTCGACCATTCCGTTGGAAATTCCGTTTGAGATTTTAGCCATCTCTTCAATGGCCGCACATGACAATCACAGTGCATGGGATTACCTAATATAAATATATTTTAAATATTGATAATAAAAAATTTGATTATAAGTACAGTTTTAAAAGTCCTTTAGTGGCTTAATTTTGTGTTTTTATCTAATTATTTAATGTATTGTTACCGGAGTATTTGAACACCGTGCCGTTCTGAATAATTTTCATGAACCTCTCATCGAAAACACCGATCTTGTTTTCTTCCAGATCGAGAACTTTTAGATTCGGCAGCGGTAGAATCTTGTCGAGAGGCACATGGCTTAGATGGTTGTTACTCAGATGCAAGTTGGTTAAATTTAATGGCGGAAGAAAAATATCTTTATCCGAGATGTCACTTATGTCATTGTACGATAAATCCAACGTCTGCAAAGCCGTTAAATTCCCAATTACATCTGAAATAAGGCAACGTTCTCATAAACGACGATTCTCAGTAGGAAAGATAAGTCAATAGGCCAATGTTATACAGCAACTCGATTAGTTGTCGAAGCTATTAAAAACGACATTTCTGGTTTACTACTCACATCTCCTGATTTCATCAATGTTATTATGAGAAAGATTCAAATACTGAATCTTTTTAGCACCGGCGATGAAGTCGAAGGTAATGACCGGCATTGTATTATAGGATAAATCGACTTCCTTTAACCTATAAGGAATCCAGGGATCATTTGGAAGGGTCTTCCGGGTGATAAATGATATCTCGTTATGACTAAGGTTGAGTCTCTCCAGAGATAGACAATCGTCGAGCAGTCCATGCGTCTTGTTGTCCAGTTTCTCCAATTTATTATGCGATAGGTCGAGTGTTCGTAGAGATACTAGACCCTGAAACGCGCCGTTTGGTATGTAGCTAATGTCGTTGGTCGTCAAGTTTAACGTTAGCAACTGCAACAGGCCCTCGAATGCCCGGCTCGTTATATTACTTATTTTATTGTTCGCCAAGTTCAGCTCAAATACTATCGGCAGACGGCCGAAGGCGGCTTTTTCCAGTTTCGTCAAGTAATTATCCTGAAATATATCCATCGGTAAAAATTCAGAAAATTATTGATCTTCGAAGAAGAATTCCCCCATACAAGTTTCTCTTGTCTTACCTGCAGATAAAGATACTGCAGACTGCTCAGACCGCCGAGTGCTTGCCAAGGCGGCTTTGTAATGTTATTCGCTTGCAGGTTTAAGATTCTCAAGGTCAGCAGGTTTTCGAAGCTCCCCTCTTGCAGGTTATCGCCCAGCTGATTCCGCGAAAGGTCCAGCGAGAGCAATGCATTCATCGTAGGCCACACGTCGGTGCTCGGAATCTCTTCCAACAGATTCTCCGAGAAGTCCAAATGACCCAGAGAAATTGGCAATTGGAATATCTTTGTCAAACGATTATTTTTCACCGTTAAACTCCTAAAATACAATAGACATGTCATTGCAAACATAAAATTTTGTAATTTTATTAATCAACAATGACTCACCTGCAACTGGCTAATCGAGTGAGACTACCTCGTGCAACGTCGTTTAATTGATTGTAACTCATATCGAGTTCTAGAAGCGTCGGCAGCGGTCCGAACGTCGATGGTTTTATTTTCTCTAGAGAATTATACGACATGTTCAAGAATCGCAAGCTGAAGAGCGTCTGAAATACGGCGTTATGAATCTCGGATAGATTGTTGTGCGAGATGTCGATCGTGTGGAGCTCGTACAGCTTTGGAAAAGTTTGTCGTGGAATGGAATGTATCAGATTGTGGGAAACGTTTAAGATTTTCAGCCCCGTCATGTTGTGCATTGGAATCTACAAAAATAGAATGTCAATAGTGTTTAGACTGAATAAAAATAAATATCTTAATGAAATAATGTGAACTATTTTTTTTACATCAAAAATTTTACTCACTTGATTTAGAGATGTAAATAGATTATAACTAAGTTGTAATTCCATAGCATATGATGCACTATCGAAAGAATACTTTGAGATATTCTCGAGCTTGTTGTGGCTGAGATCCAATAATGTGATATTCGCACAATTCTCGAAAGCGCCTGATTCGATCTTTGAAATTTCATTGTGAGACAGATTCACTTTCGCCAGATAGATATCTTTGAACGCCAATTTCTCCACGATCGTCACGAAATTCTCGGAAACATCTATAAGCTATCACGAAAAATCTGCTATTAATCCTTTCGAATATATATTTGTAATATTTATTTTAAAATTAAATTTATGATAAATTCGAGATCTCTACAGATTAATGAAACTGAAAAATATTAAAAATAAAAATGTATATAATATTGAATATTAAAATATACTTCTACCGCCAGAAAGAATATACATCAATAAACTATATATATATAGATGAATTTTTCACTCATAAGATATTTTTTTAGCAAAATCAATAAAAGAATTGTTTTTTTAATGACAAAATGATGTCGTCCCCCTAGAAGGTTAAAGAAAAATTGTGTGAGAATTGTGCAAGTATAATTATTTCAGATACCTCAGCAAATTGTAACTGATTGAACATTTGGAAGTCGATTTTCTTAATAAAGTTCCGGGCAAGATCAACGGTGCCGATTCTGGTAATGGAACCGAAAGTTCCACGACCCACGTCGTCGATTTGATTGTCGCTCAGATGTAACCGTCTAAGAAAACGCATGCCACGGAAAGTGTTTGAATCAAGTTTCCTGATTTTGTTGTGGCTCAAATTTAAGACCTTTAAGACGGAATTCCGGGCGAAGGTTCCTCTAAAACGAAAGAAACAATCTTAGGTACATTGCGGAAAATTTTATGATAAGTACCGTTTTCTTCAAGTCTGTCAACCTTTTCAAATCGGCGATAGCATTATGCGATATGTTGCACCATCCCATCTTGACAAGATCGGCTAAATGAGACGGATCTAATTTGTCGATTAAATTGTGAGAGATATCCAAGAACTCGGTGTCTCTTAGACCTTTGAATTGATTCCTCTTCAAGTCTTTTATTTTGTTGCCATGAAGATCAAGAGTTTTAAGTTTCTTGAGTGGCGTTAATGCTTCCACAGGCAAGGAAGAAAGTGTACCTAAAAAATATAAAAGTCAGTCAAGAATTTTAATTTGATATTTTTTTATAATTATGTTTTTATATATAAGTATTACATAAAAAGTTATATATGATGAAAATATTATTTTCTATATACGTAATATCAAAAATTGAGTTCATACAATTGTATCATTTTTAAGATCTGTATAATGAGACGGTGTGCATTTTCCACTGACAATATCTCACGAGATTCTGATTACCGTTACTAATCTCCAATTTTTCTAGCTTCGCAGCCGCCGCGCTTTCACCAAAACTATTTCCCAGCAAGGCAGATATCCGGTGCCCGGTGATGCTCAACAGGCTGAGATTGCCGAGGATCTGCAGTGCTTCACGAGGAAATTTTTCCAGATTGCTGTTTATTACATAAAGCTCCTGAAGAGTTCGGTTCACGCCAAGAAAACTGTGCTCTTCGATCAATCTCAATGGCGTATCGATGAACTTGAGCACTCGCACATCCAATGGATATAGAGCGGGCCCGTAGAATCGTACTGCCAATTAATAAAAATGGAATAGTTTATTTAACCGACTTATTTCGTCATCTTCCGCGAGAATATTATACGCAAATTTCTTTTTCTTTACGACGTGATATTAAATCGACTCACCTATGTTACATTTATATAGAACCAGTTCCTCGATCGGCATGCCCTCGTTTCCCAGATTCGTGAAGGCAATACTGAGACTGGCCAGATTCGTATTCTCACAACGGATGTATAAACCTCTGTCACTGCCCCGAAGACAAGTGCAGGGATAAATGTAAATCGCGTCTTTGGGGCATCCGAACCTCGGTCCAGGTGGCACGTAGCCACCCATTATGGACACAATCATACTCAACAGCAATAGTGGAGATAACATTTTAATACCTGCTTTGAAAAGCACAAACAAAAAGAAATCCATTTAACATTTTCGTAATTATATAATGTAATTATATAATTATATATTACGCGCTTACACTTTATAATTACATAACTGATATGAGTTCAAACGTATAACAACAAATTTTACATGAAAAAATACTGTTATAAGAAAATTGTATATAGTATAATTTACATAATCTCTTTAATAAATACATATAATAAGTTACGTTGAAAAATATCTATATTACATTTATATCATAAAGATTGATAATAGTTTGGTTTATATAGATAACGTGCAAACTCGTGATATCTTTGTAAAATGAACATTTCAATTAGTCATTCCGTGATGCAACGCACGTCTCGTCAGAAATGTGGGAAAGTTTTCGCTACGCGAACTCCCTTGGTTAATGTACGCAACAGATCGATACGCCGATAACCATGCAGCTTATGCACCTAATAAAATCGTAGTTGCTTCAAAATCGCAATTGTTCTGCGCAATCTTTCGCGAATGAATTGTTAAACGGCCCTTCGAAGTTCCTGTTGCCTGTGTTTAAGCAAAAGCGATTACATCAGTCGCTCAATTCGCGATCCGATCTCACCGCTTATTATCCCACGCGAGTTGCTGAGATATCCTGCGATTTCTTGATACCAAGGCGCAGAGGTGACTAACCGCTAAGATTATCACGATATAGCCCAAAAACGTCCTTGAAGACGAGACTACTTTTTTCAGGTAGACACAACCCACGCAAAATGAAACCTACGCGCTGACCACTGCGTAACAAAAAACGCCGCAAAAGATCAAGATCTCATGGATGATGCTCTCATGGATCATGCTTTGCCCATTCATTATTCAATCATAATTAATACAATGATCGTGTACCGACGATAGCGTCTCCCACGCGATTCTAGAAAGGAGGCACGCAACTACAGCAATCGCGCTTTCTGTCACGTAACAAATTATAAGCTATCGTAGGGACGTTTAACTCATACGTCACTCACAATTTGCCTCGTGTTGCGCATCTTGCAAAAGAAAATTATGAAAGCGGCGACTTGTCCATCCGGAAATGTTAATGCGATTAGACCAATGCGTTTTCACTGTGTACTATCGCGAAAACGATGAACCACCTGCGTAACCATGCATGAAATTTCGATAGAAAATTAATGGTTGCGTGCAATGGTGCTGCACTGCGGTTTATTGCAAATTGATTGTCCTTCTTTCGAAACTTGGACGATTAGCAAATATAATCTTTGTATAATAACCGACCTCCTTTCAAAGATCATCGTATACTCTTTGTGCTCTGTGGGTGGATTTGAAAAAATATCAATAGGCCATGAAAAAAAATACAGTTGTCACCATTAATAATCAATTATATTTTGATGCAATTATTAATCACTGTTTCCTGGTCATATGTTTTTCCGGTTGAATCTAGGCATATTCTTTTTATTGTACGAAAAATATTTGCAGTGTATTCTATTATTAATTAACAATTGTATGGTAACAATGAAAGTTGAATTGTCAATTTACACTTTCGATATATTCCAATGTCTAACAACCGAGTCTTCGCGTCGCAGCGAGGCTCCCGTAATTAACGGTAGCTTATAATTAAAATAATTGTGGGACTCACCGATCTGAGAAATGGAAAACTATGCCTTATTACAGCCCTAGTAATTCAAACAGGCAAGAAGAAAAGCACGATGATCTAGTTCAAGCATCAGTTTATAATGCTCGCTGTATGTATAAGCACGATATGTAAGAAATCATTAGCGTTTGCATTATGAATGAGGAAGATTTATTATTTTTATCTCAGACAAGATGTATGCCAAGTAAAAGTATATCAATAAATTTATATTTATACACTGAGAAAAATGTTTGGTTGAAAATGAGCGAACCAGAAGATTAGATTAATCAAAATTCCGCTTATCTTAATTAGAATTCCAATAGATTCAATCAGAAAATTTAGATTCATCCATTTTTAATCAGAATTCCAATTAATCCAACTAGGCGTATTTCTTAGGAGAGTAAGAACATTAAGTTGTCATCAAGAAAATCTGTAAATCTAAAATCGATGAGACGATAACGATTTAGAAGTAAAACGATACGTTGGGAAAAACATACGCGCCTTTCACTTATTTCAGTTGATCTTTCTACTTTATAAACCAAGGAACTAACCACTGGACCGGATCACGCTGGTCTCTCGTGACACCAAACTCGTATCAGATCTAAGAAAAATGAACGAACCTGGTATCATTGACGTAATGCATCGGCAATACTCGATTATTTATTATTATTAAGTTATCTCGAGTATCTGGATCAAAACTCGAACCGTTACTTGTTACTTTTTGCTTATATTTGTACCGACTTAAAAATATTTAGAAACTCGAGAAGCTATCAATAAACAGTATGCTTTCCCGAACGTGAGACTTCCGCTTCTCGAAAGCGGAAAGACAGTGGAGAGAAAAAGAATTTGCTCCACGCTCCACTTTCTGAAAGTCTATCAATTAGAGCTATTGTGTTAACGTAGCAAAGATAGACGGCTTTACGTAAAGAAAATGCATCACTACCAACTTATAATATTCGCAGTTAAGTACTAAGATTAAATCTCATTATAAAAGAAACTGCCTCGTCAAAATGAGATGCACTTTTCCATGCATTTCTTTAACATAGTAGACAAGAAGATTTTTGTTTCGATATTATCCTTGCAAATACCGCATCGTGTAATATCCTATGTCTACATTCGTTTACTATACGATTTTTATTTGTAACATTACACCTTTCCTTTCAAAAATATATGTATAGTAATTATTAAGAAAATTTTTTTTAAATAAAGTAAAGAATATGTATAATTTAATTTAATTTATGCTTGATTATTATATAAAAGTTTGTAATTTATAAAGAATATTATTTAGAAAACTATTACAAAGTTTCCGAATTTCAAGATTAAATTTATGTGAAAAAAATAAAAATCTTATATATTGAATAATGAACTCTCCAAAAAAAATAATTTTACCTATACTGTATTTAAATACTTACATATGTCAAGTTAGAATAATTATAAAGAACAATATTATCGCAACTAAACAAAATAGAAATAACTGTGCAAAGCTTCGTGAGTTAGTTAAGTATTAAAGATAATTAGTTCAAGTAACATAGAAGCGTAACGTTTTGTGCATGCATTAAAGTCACCGTTCGCTGAGCGGAGAGATGACGCGCCTAAACACACGTGGATACTCAGCTGCGAACATTACGAAACTTAGCACCTTTGTATTTAAAAATATAATAAGTCTAATACTCGTATTAGAAATTGAGATTGAATTTAATCAATCGAAGCGAATATTACTAAACCTGATATATTGATTTTCTTTTTTCTTTCAATCTCAATCTATAGCCTGGTATCTGACATATCTGACATAAGCTGTTTGATAAGCTGTTCCTTATTATTAGTACAATATATCATACCTGCTATTATTCTAATAGTCGGTAAATGCGAGATGTTTAAAAACAATATTGTCGAGCATTTTTCAATTTTAAAACAATAGACTATAATATTATCGTTTGTCACAAAAAAGTTGCGGTATACCTTGTTACACTTTGTCCAACGATTTTTAAAAGCGCGAAGGTCGTTGTGATTTTTTTCAAGGATGCACTGCTGGTATCCTCAGGGTTACATGTTCGCAGCCGAACGGGTTGTCCTTTTTCTTCCACCATGCAGGAGCAGAAAGAGTGAGAAAGAAGAACAGAAAGGAGTACACGTTTTGAATTCACCTTCGTGTGTCTTCAAGACATTCTGCATGTGGTTCCTAGCTGAAGCTGCCGTGAAAACTGAACCGAGGCACGGAGGCAAAGAGAAAGGCAGCTTCAGAAGTAAGACCTCCCTCATTGGCAGTTGATACGCTGTCCTTTCGTAGATATCCCACCTTTGCCGTTGCGAGAGAAAGAAGGAGAGTCTCGCCACAATCACATTTTGATAAAATACTGCATGTCTTCGAAGGTCGCGACTGATAAGCTGCTATTAGTAACCTGACAAAAGTTTTCATTAAATTAATAATTTAAAAATTATAATAATAAAGTATGTAAAAAATTTCTGTCGTTTTAATGAATGATTAAAAAAAGTTTCAACTTGATTAATTTTAGGGTTTCTTTTTAAGAACGTCAAAAATTATAAAAGTGTTATTGATTAGAAGTTGTCAAGTTCTGAATATTTCTTTATATTCCTTTGGTTTGCGTTTGTAGGTTTCTCAAATTATAAACATTTACATATGAATGAATAAATATTATTGTGTAATTTTAATGCATATAACGTTATATTTAATTTAATAGTATGTAACGATACGATCCTGGCAATCCTCGTGTTGAAGAAAGTCAGCCGTCGAGTACACCTTAGGATTGGTTGATGCTAGTGAAAGTTTCTTTACGTAGTTACCTTGGTACTCAACCGAGAGGCACGTAATTTATAGCATGAAGCCGACATCTGTTGGTGCACAGATTAATTTAAATAAACATCTCGAAAAAATTTAAGTATGTTATCTCGTTACTTTCTTCATAATAGAAAATTTTAATTTTAACACAAAATTCTTTGTAATAAATTTGTATTTATTACTTTTTTTTTTTACAAATTTATTAAGCCATTTTTTATTTCTTTATAGAGAAAATTAATCGAATTTTTTTATTCTTAGAATTCTCTTGATTCTTCGAAAACGTCGTTTAGCAAAGCAGGATGCGATAGTTAAGTGTCGTTTAAACAATAATGAGATAGAATGACGGGCCTTTTCAGAAATTACATGGCTATTAAGGTCATTGAGCTCTTCGTGTTCTGCAGTTTCAGACAAAGAGCTTGTAGTCGCGCAGTCGGTTGCGTTATCCATCGAGTAAATGAGTGATAGTGTTGGCTGGTATTGAGCTATAATTTCGGCACCAAGAATTAAAAAATTTTCGTTTTAAAAATTACGATTAACATGAATTATTTTATAATATACGTGTTCAACTTTTCATTATTGTTGAGTAAGTTTTAAAATTAGCTCTATATTAAATTTCGATTACTTGAGGATCTCTATATTTTCTATTATTTAAAAGTTAGGTTTTATATATTTTTTGTTATACAGATACAAAAGTGACAAATCAATTTACTTTGGGCCATTTCGTAAGAATTTTTTTTAATTACTTTAAAGTTATTTTAATATATCACTGTTTTGTAATTAAAATTAAAAATTACGAATTACTATGTTTTACATAGGACAGAAATCTTCTGGAAACCTATGAGGAGATATCAAGTGAACAAAATGATATCGATATCTTCGCCAATCTAACTTTTCGCTTTACTTGCAAGGATATGCCATCCGGTTTTTATGCCGATATAGATTACAATTGCAGGATATTTCACGTTTGTGAAAATTCCGGTGATGGATTCCCAGTGATCTGCGCTAACGATACGGTGTTTGATCAGAAACAGCGGATATGCACGGACGAGGAAAATATCGATTGTCATCACGCTCACGAATGGTACATATACACATTTTATGATACTTAAATGAATCGTATCATAAGTGTTTCTATAACATAATTAATAATTACTTACTGAAGGTATTACTTGAATGAATTAATTTATTCTGCGGAAATCGAACCGAGGACGATCACAGAAGAAATTCCAGAGGAAGAAGAATCGAAAGTGGTTCAAGAAGATGTAGTACCTTCCATTTGGCCGTTCGTGATTGACTAAAAATATCTTATCTTACGCTAGGTATTTACGTTCTAAGCATTTTACATTTATTCCGTTAAATGAAATTACTATTCGTTAAATAAGTTTGACTGGAATTAATTTATTTTACTTTTTTCTCTTTTTTTAGTTTGCTGTTTATTTTTTCTTAAAAAAAGATAAAGAATAAATTAAACCGAGATTAAAATTAAATCTTAACATTGATGGTACCGGGCTCTGTCACTTATGACATAGTGCGGTACTAGGCGTGTGTCCAACTTTTGAATCCAACTATTTTTGCCGATCTATTCTTATCTTTTTTATGTAGAGTTTCTGCCAAGAATTAGTAATTTTACTGTATGCAATGCGAGAAATATCGGAAAATAATATTTATAAAATTCTAAAGTAATATTATTCTACTTTCGTAGTAGTTCAATATTCTAACGGTTGCGTGTTGTATCATGATCTTAACTCCAGTTTCTTTTGTTGCGTCCCGGTATGTCTTTTGCTGCATGCAAAGCGTAAAACATTAATGAAATAAATAAAAGAAAGAGGAAATACACGAAAAGAGAGAGAAGACCTTCAGTGGTAGTCCAGAATAATCTCAGGTCTATTCCTGACTGTTGACTTCTCAAGGTTCTTGAAAGTTGCAGCACCAGTATTTTGGAATAATATTGCAGCGCACGCATAATTTATTATATTTACTTCTTCATCGAATTCTACAAATCAAACTAGATACATATATTTTCAAAAACTTCAAGAATTTAAATAATTTAAATAATTATATATATTGTGTTTATAATATAAATTTAACAAAACTTTATAATGTTATTAAAATGCTTATTCTATTAAAAAATAAAATAACATTGAAATTAATTAATTGATAATTGTAATTTGAAGGGACAATAGCGATTATACAAGACAGATACAATTCATTTATTTTTAATCAGATATATTTAAGAATATATCAGTCTTAAGAAAACTTACGCTAGCAATTCAATATTTTTTCTGCGATACAACTGTATTACGTATTACATATTTTTTAATGCCATACTTGTGTCTTAATCGTTAAGAAAATATGAAAAAATGTCACCCACCACCATAAAGCCCCATGACAATGAAATAAATATCACCTGCGAAATGGCGCGTGTTTCATGATTAAATTGCGAGGGATTGTTTCCATAATCATCTACGAAAATACCGTTTCTTCAGATTCTAAATATCATCTATTCTAACTTTTGAAAATATACTCTACTTGAATTCCGTGTTACTAAAGTGTAAATAAGATATATCACGACAGACAATGTCACGGACGCAGCTATAGAAACTATTAATATCTATCTTTCCGACTAATCTCTTTTTAGGAAATAATAAAATTTTGTTATGGGAAGAATTGTTAGGCATAGAAATCGAGAAGTTATCTCGAAATTACATTGTCTTATAAACGCGACCACTACAATACTAATATAAAAACATTAAAGCTAACCCAATATATAATTCGATTTGTTTCGGACTTGAAGAAAAGTCTGTAATGACAGAGACTTATATAAAGCTCTTAACAAAACACATGTATGGGAATTTAATATAGTATACATAAAAAATAAGTAGACTTGAGCAAGCAAATCAAAATACTATTTCTCATGATGATAATATGATCTATGATGATGTGGCCAAGTAATCCCCGGACCCGTTTGATCATTATCGTATACATATTTGATCTTCGGATTTTCCGACCCGAATACACTTTGTCGGATCATACCGAATATAGCTGATGCAAGGGCCATGTTGCTGATCATACCAGCTATGGAAGCAGCCGCTCTCGCGTGAGCCAAGGCCGTCTGGATGATGAAAGTTATTATGAAACCGATTCCAGGTATCAAATGGCTCATCTTCATCTTCAACGCTCTTCCGAGATGTATCACCGCACTCGTAATTTTCCTGGACATAATGTCTTCTTGCAAACGTGGCAAGTAAACCCTCAGTTCCGAACGCATATTGTTGTCAGAGGACGATTCGGTATCTTTGATCCTATTTTCATTATCTGGATCCTCGTTCTTCTGCATAGAAACTTCCGCCTTCTTTTCTAAATTCTCTGAATATTCATTCAGCAAAGATCTAAATTCGTTCTTTGCACGATGATCTCTTTTGCGTTCTTTGTCACTTTCCACAGATTCTTTTTGAAGCTCATAGGTCATTTCTTCCTTCAACGGTATTACTTTTATTTCCTCCGTGTTGAGATTCTTCATATGCTTCTCAGGATTATCTCTCCTAAGATGTTCTTCAGTAAAGGCTTTTAACCTGCTCGCAAACTTTTCGTTTAAACGGGTCCCAAAAAGTACGCTGAAAGCATTGTAAGCATTCTCTACGTTAAGGAACTGAGCAACATCACCATCGGCGAAGTCCGTTGCGTTGGCCTTGATTTTATCTAGAAACATAGTGATTATCTTATCGTCATTTATAGATCGTTTAATGTCCGTGTACTCGTCGCTCTCTTGCAGAAGCTGAAAATTTGCATCTTGTATATCATCCAGACTCTTCTCTTTTTTTTCTTTTTCTTTCTTTAGCTTCTCGTTGTCCGGCCGCTGATCCAGTACTTCTTCCATAATATCGCTGATGATCGTCAGGATACTCGGCAAGTTCTTGTTGTCTTTGATCTTCGTAGCTCTACCTTCGCGAAAGCCATTGAAGCTTATACCGATTTCACCATTCCCGTAACCCTTCAGCTTTAGGAAACCCATATCTACCTGAAATTTATCCTCCATTGCTGTCTTATACCAGTCTAGGAAAATATTTTCCATTGATTCCTTTCTAGCTAATAATTCCTTCTCGAAATCCTTCGTGGACATACCGAAGAAATTCTGTACTTCAGTTTCCATTGATCTTCCGAAACCAGGAAACGAGGGTAAAGATGGTAAGATAGATGGCACGATACTAGTGACTACTGGCCAGACGAAAATACCCATGCATCTGATGAAGCTCAAGCTCTGTACGCATCGAACTACTCGCGATAGAAAACCGCGATTTGCCGTATGTTCGTTCAAATCTTCCACCAGCTTTAAGATTTCGTACTGATCGGCGGTTAGAGAATTTCTGACTGTATAATTTAATGTATCAACAAAATATTCCTTCGAATTATCTTTGAATTTTTCTTCCAAAAATTTTTCAGATTTGGAAATATTAACTAGAAGCTGAAGAAAATCAGATTCCGTAATGTTCGGGAACATGCTATCCATTGTCGTCTCCGAAGTCTGTTCAATTTCTCCTTCGGTCTCATAGTAAGAATTTAATAATTGATCAGTACTTCTTCGTCTCCTTTCGTGTTTCTTGGATGATGCGCTTGAGGAAACGGGCTCCGACAATGGTTGTTGCTTAAATTCAGACAACCGGATTTTCTCCTTAGAAATATCTATGAGGATGTTTGATGATTGTCCAAGATACCCGGGGATGGTTCTTTGCTCGTCTAGAAAATAAACAAAATTAAAGATTAATGAACTGAATATTGAGAAGGGGTGTCGATATGTGTTTAGCGGATAAGACTGATTCACCTACTGACGCAGTGTTCGAAGCCCTCGATTCTCCACTTATCTGGTTTGCCTGTTTCACTGCATGCGCAACTTTCGACTGAACTGTTTGCTCTTGAGACTTCAGCTCCTGCGGCTTCGGCTCCTGCAATTTCGATTCCTGCGACTTCGATTCCTGCAGCTTTGGATCCTGCAACTTCGACTCTTTCGGCGCATCCGACAGGATTTGAATTTGCGGATAATTTATGCCACCAAAGCTAGGCAATCCTGGAAACTGAGGAATGCCAGTTTGAATTCCACTCGGTACCGTAGGACGTTGAGGGAGAGGAAACTGTATGATGGGGCGCTCGGTGAAAGGATTTCCAGGAAAACTCGGGATCTGCCCAGGAAGTTGACCTATACCAAGGATTTGGCCGGCTCCAGGAATTTGGCCGGCACCAGGAATTTGACCCGCACCTGGAATTTGACCTGCGCCAGGAATTTGGCCAATACCAGGAATTTGACTTACACCAGGAATTAGGCTTATACCGGGAATCTGACCAGAGCCAGGAATTTGACTAATACCAGGAATTTGACCAGAGCCAGGAATTAGGCTTATACCGGGAATCTGACCAGCACCAGGAGCTTGAAACTGACCGAACAATTCTTCGAGGCTCGGTATACTTGGCGAAAATTGTTTCAAAATTGGCCAAGTGACATGCTGGGTGCAGGCCACGAAATTATTGCTTCTCACGCAGTCCAACAAGTTGGTTACATATTCGTGACGTATCAAATCCGGTATCGCTCTCTCCGCCAATCTGACAATGTTCATCTCCTGAGCAGTCAGAAGAGTGCCTATCACAGGATTATTGACGTCTAGGTAAGAATTTTCTGAACGCGGCGACGAGTTCTTACTTAGCAAATCCTTCAATGTGTTCTCTATTTTATCCTCAATTGTTTCTATGGCAATCTTTGATGTATTTTCACTCTTTTCATTGGACGTCTGATTATCGGAATAAGCGTTGCGTAGTATGATCGATGATAAATCGAGTTTAGTTCTCGGCAGAAACTGAAAATTTCCAAAATTGGGAAAGTTTGGCAATCTCGGGAAGAATTGAGCAATTGTTGGCCAAGCTATATTTCTCGTACAGTCGAGGAACGTGCTCTCTCGAACACAAGCGATCATCCTCTCTACGAAGATTGGTCTTACTGATTCTGGTAACAGACTTTCTGCGATTTGAACGATATTACCTTGCTGTTCCGTAAAATAAGACGTAATATGCGGCGATCTTGAAGTGATTATTGAAGGCAGGACTTCCGGCGTAGAATGCTGCACGGTCTTAAGTATTCTTAAAATTACACCTTCCGGATGTTCCGAAAAAATCGGATAAAATCTAGTATCTGTAATGGTAACAGTAGCATCTCCGTGCTGGCCGACTTTCACATCAGTCTCCGACAATGGCGATGGATCAGTCAGATTTTGAGGTAATGTAGACTTACTGTTTGCTGCTTGAGGATGTCCTCCGAAATTTGGAAAGCTGGGCAGTCTAGGGAAATATTCCGATAAACTCGGCCACAATACCATCCTTGAGCATCCTAGAAAATTGTTCTTGCGTACACATTCTACCATTCGATCGATGAAAGCAGAACGAGTTGCATCGGGTAGTAAGCTTTCTGTTATCTTAAGAATAGTCAATTGTTGATCATTAAGCAGATGGTCAAACTGTTGCGTGCTGGTTATTTTCACACTCTGATCATCTCTCACGTTTGGCGAAGACAGCTGAATCGCCTTGAGAATGTTAAGTATCACCGATTCAGGATGTTCTGTAAATATCGGCACAAATCGGGTACCAGTAACACTAATCACAGGACCATTATTAGGCGAAAATTTCGTCCTAGAAATAATCTTCACGTTGGAATTCGTTTGCGATTTGTTCCATTCCTGCTGATCCTTGATAGCTGAAACGTTCTTGTCTTTCAATGGTATTTGATCTTCTTGTTTTGATGGTTGTTGAGCAGATGAGAAATCAGGAAATTCAGGGAAATTAGGAACGTAAAGAGCAACCGTGGGCCAAATGACGTATCTGGTGCAATTGAGAAAGTCGTTGTTCGCCTGGAGGCAAGACATAACTTGAACTACAAGAGGTGCCCGAGCCGGAGGTGGTACCATGCTCTCCGCTAATTGTAGTATATTAAGTTGTTTCTCAGTAATTGTTGTCAGAACAATGACATTTTCGTTGATGATTAAATGCGAATTTTTCGATGTCACTCTCAGGGAATTACGTACCTTTGTTAAAATCTCCGTGACCTTGTTTTCTAATTCGCTGGATGCTTTGAAAGAAATTTCGTTTTGGCGCGACAATAATGGAATCCGACTGGATAATTTTTCTGCACCAGTGGATTCCGATGGATTTTCTGTGACTAGCGGTGTCGTCGTAGTCGGTGGGTTTGGTACAGTTGGTGGAATCGGTAAAGTCGGTGGTTGGTTTCCTCCTAAAATTGATGAAAAATCAGGAATCTGAAAATTTGGCAACAAACCGAAGAAATCGGGTAATTGCCAGTCAGGTAGCCACTCGGAAATGTCCGGTAGATTGGGAATAAACTGCTTGACCGTCGGCCAGGTGGAATATTTAAAACAGGTTACATAATTAAATTCCTGAATGCACTTAACAGTTCTCTGAACGAATTCTGGACGATACGCGATAGGAAGTAGCTGTTCAGCCATGTGAATCGACAGTAATTGCTCCGGAGGAAGTATAGCAATGTAAGAATCTGTAGCATGAGCGATAGATGGAGGAGGAACTTTCGCGTGCTCCTTCAAGGTATTCTGAAGGATGTTCACGATCACCGCTTCCGGCTTGGGCTTCCGCATTCTCGTAGCGTCAGCTTCAACGACTTCCGGAAGCTCGCCAGGGGTCCCCACAAAATTGGGAAAGGGAACGATAGGGTACTGCGGATACAACGGTATCGATGGATACCAATTCTGATAATCCGGAAAAGCCGGCAGCGTCGGATAATGTTGTTTCACCATCGGCCAGGCAAAATACTTGACGCAGCTGAAGTATTCGAATCTACGTACGCATGAGAACATCCTGTCGGCATATTCGCGACGCCTCTCACCGGGTAAAAGTTTCTCAGCCATCTGCAAAATTTGGAGTTGGCCGATAGTGAGCAGTGACCTCAGGGTTTCGTTCGTTGGATCGATGAAACTCGGCACCAAGTCGTAGGTGACTTTCGATTCCAAAGCACCCTTCAGAATGTTAAAAACAACGAACTCAGGCGTTAGCAACCACGGATGATGAATGCTGTTCTCTGATCTCGCAGATTTGGCCCTGTTACCCTGAAATAAATCCATTAAGTTTACCTCGATTGGCAGATAATTCAGAGACTGCTTAACTGATTCCGGAAGATTGTCGAGCACGACGGGCCAAACGAAGATGCGTATGCAGTTAAAGACACTGAGACCGCGAATGCATTCCCCTATATTTTCCACGAACGACTGGCGCTGTTTTGTCTGTACTAATTGCTCGGCACACTTTATTATTTCCAATTGGTTTTCAGTCAATTCGGACGCATTTAAGCTAGCCAAGTACGTTTCGTTCGTAGATGACTCCCGCGTTTTCGCAATATTCTTCAAAGTATCCAATAACTGGTTTTCCGTGAATTTTGGAATATCAGAGAGCACCTCGATTGCCTGTTCCCTTAAATACTGCAAAAATGTTCTGTTCTTGATTTGTTCCTGAAGAAACGCAGCTTGATTCTTCCATTTTTGAAAACGGTTTAAATCGGCTTCCGTCGTTGAAGATGATTGATCGAGATTCTCACTTTGAATCGATGTCGCTTCCACGTCGCTGCTACGTTGATTGCGAATCTCTTCGTCTTTTTCAGCCGCAACCGCTTCAACCTCAATCGATTTCTCTGAAAGAAGACTCTCTTCATCAAATTTTTCCGACTCTTCTGCATTGTTACCGACGGATTCAAGTGCATCGTTTCGTATAGATATTAATTTTTTTATTTGACCGTCTACAATTGATTCTTGCTCGCGACCAGGCAAATTACCTTCTTCAGCACTCAAATAAACAGTCGAACTCTTGTACTTGGACTTACCTGGAACACTGGCTCTATTTTCTCTGTTCAGATCCAGATCTTCGTCACCGATTTCTTCATTGGTCAAAGCCTCGTCGATCACACGTTCCTCTTGATTACTTTCAGTTTCTTCCACGACATGTTCCTCTTGATTACTTTCGGTTTCTTCCGTTTGAGCAAGCTGCAAGCTACGAAGCTCATTGCGTACGTCCTCGTTTACTTCCTCGGTATTCTCTATTTGTGCTTCATCCAAATTATGATCCGCTAAATTTTCAATCTGCCCTGTTTCTTCTTTGTTTAAATCTATTTTATCCGTGCATTTCAATTTGATATCTTCCAGATTTTCTCCAAAACTAGAAGAAGTGTCTACATTCTTCTCTCCTTCCGGCTCCGCTCTATCTTCATCGGCATTCACATCTACGTTTTTTACATCCGCGTGTAATTCCTCGACGTTAATTTCAATAGTATCATCTTGTGAGTCCTGACTGTTCTCTGTATTGTCCGATACATTCCGTTGATCCAGTATCGTCTCAGTATCGTCAGACGCAACCTGAGCGTCAAATCTTCGAATACCTTCGTTTTCCTCGACATTCTGTTCGACAGTCTCGCCATTCTGAGACACGGGCTTACCGAGAAGACTCACGTCGTTTCGTCTTCTCTTCTTCGCCACGCTACCTTCATCACCAGCAGCTTCGACTTGAATCTTTTCAGGATCCTCGACGAGTATCTCTTCCCCTGAGGTATTTCTTCCTTCACTAACATCTCCATCTTCATCATGTTCTGCTATCGTCAAGCTTTTTCGTGCTTGATCCACATCCTCTTTGTTTACGTCGTCAGGATCACTCACCTGTACCGGTTTCGAAATCTTATCGTGCACTTGGTCCGCAATGACGCTGCCGTCATCGTGAGGCACACTTCGCGCTCGTGTGTGATGAAGGACGCAAAGCAGAAAGAAGAAACAAAGAGTCGAGCGAGGCACGAGCCGATAGATGCTCGCGGTTGACCGTGGGCGTCGAGAGTTGAGTGCTCTCATGGTCGCGGTCGAGAGGCGAATGTCTCGGCCACTTCTGAGCCGGTCTATGGTCAGCCATGCCTCACGCATGGTGATACACATACCATCGTCTAAAGCACGCTGACTGCAGCCAGTTCACGGACGAAGAAGAGAACCTGTAGATGAATAACAGCCTGGCATTTCCATTTTTGCGGTGCCCCTCTACGCTCCTACTTCGGGGTTGCGAGGTAACGAGCTCCGCTGCCAACGAGTTCGCCGTGGCTGACCGGTTGCGTTTCCTGCGCGGAAATGGCAATGGCATCAGGTGCATCGATCGCTCGATTTATCGCAACGTGTAATTTCCTTAACGTAATTAATGCTACAAATTAGTCGTACCGTTTGAACGTTTACGATATGAATTACTTGTCGCGAAGCTGAGGAAGTTTATTTACCTCAGATCGTTTGACAATTATGGTTTACAAACACGCTTAGCGTAAGGAGCGATGTACTCGGAGAAGAGAACGAGAAAGCCATAAACATAGTTAAGTGCACGCCATATACATTTTTGCAGCGCGAAGATTGACTTGTATACACGCCATCAGGCATACTGAGAAATGGAGTCTAAAATAAAAGTATAAATTACAATTTTTTTTACATTTCCTATAAATATCTTAATCTTATTTCCTCTTAAAAATTTATGTAATGCATTATAAGCTATCACTTATAATTGTTTATCATTAATAGAAAATAATTATTAATAATGATAAATTTTTATTGATATAATTAGGAACGTCTGTTTATATGCATAAATTTAAATATATATATATATATATAGAGGAAGGTCATCGATACCGACATACCACTTTATTTTTAGACAATATTTCTTAAACAAAAGGTAAAAATACAACTTCAAAGAAATAAATACAAAGTAAAAAGTATCTTCTACCAGATAGTATAAGCAATTTTTATAATACTCTTTGCAATTTTGCAATAATTAAGTTTTTCGTAAGTTATGCAAAAATGAGCGTCTGATAAAATAGGCTCCAAAATTGACATAGTAGGCAATAATACCAACATTCCTATTTTATAAATGAAAATATATCCTATTCTCTGTAAAGAAAACTAATTTATGAAACTATAAATATTTAAAATGACATAATATTATCAATAATACAGTCACTATTATTTTAATTACGCAATTTGCAAAAGAATTTTCTTCTCGGATTCATAGAATTGTTTTTAGCTGATTTGGTATAGAAATAAGCCACACATATATGAATTATGAGTTTGTACTTCTTTAATTAGCTAAACAGATCATGAATTTATTAGTATTAATAAAGTGCAATAGTTAGTTTCTGAGAAATAAGGGGGTGTCTTTAGGATACCTATGTCAGTATCGGCAACTTTCCTCTATATATATATATATAAAATATCAAATATATTTCAATTACTGTCGAAAATATAAAAGATCACAGATGTTTCTTGAAAAGAAAAAAACTCATGACTAATCAAAATGCAAAAATAAAGCATCAACAAACATAGTTCTTAAATGAAAAAATTGGAAGAAGCAAAGGAATAGTAATCCGTAAATCTAAATGCGATACAAATCAGGTTTAGCGTTTATATTTAATACAATCTTGCTCTCGCGCTCTCTGCTCGCGCCAGTGTAAAGGGTTGAATTTTTAGTCCTTGAAGGAATCGAGACTCGTAGGAATGGTTAGGAAGAAGGGGCATTCTAAGGTGGGGAGCGAAGAGTAATGCATTTTTACAGCGAATTTTATTTTCCAAGATGGTCGGCACGATGCTCCCTACTTCTTCCCTCTCTTCGCTCCTTCCGTACTGGATTCACTGAGCAAAGACGATGCAATAAACCTGTACTGCCTTTCTTACTGTCTACCTAGCTTACGGTGCGTCCACAACGTTTAATGCAATTTATTACTTTAGTATCGTTTCATGCAATGCTATTCTCTTTAACAATTTTGTTATCGGACATTTTTATATTGTCTTAACGCTTGTCTTTAATTCCTGAAGTATTAATACATCTTTCTTACGCTGCAAGAAAGAGACATAGAAAAAATTGCATTGTAATTTTTTTATAATAATTTTGAGCATATATTTTATATATTTACCTTATTAAAAACTTATACTGAATTAATTTAACTAACTGTAGATAAAGCTGTCATAGATAGAGAGATTGTTAAAAAGTGCACTACAATTTCTTTATAATAATTTTAAGCATTTTGTATGCTTTATTTATTTAACAGATTTATCTTATTTAAAAATTGATATAACTAGCTAGATAAAGCAATACTATAATCTTAGTCGGCTTTGTAACAAGCGTATCGAGGTAAACCACATCGATCATCAACCATGACTTTTCTTTGAGCTACTTACTGAAGCCAGACGGTTAATGAATTTTATGACACACAATACTTATTCCTTGTAATGTCTCGTTATGAGGTCAGTCAGCAGTTATGTTAACTTCGTCAGGAAGCACGGTGCTTCGTTAAGGACGGCTGTTTGCAGTAACGTTGCACGCATAAGTGTCTACGGATGTTATGCGTTTAGCAGATTGACGTGATAGTATCTAGAAGAATAAGCAGTACATGAAAACTAGTTTTAAAAAATTTATCTGCATATTATTGGCAAGTGGATTTCAAACAGTAAAACGTTTCTTGAATGGAGATTATAAGTATGTGCTCGAGTGTATGTGTTGAGAAGAATTTCATTGGAAAATTATGAAGCAATGCGTTCCAACTACTCTTAGTTCAGCCACTCCTTTTCAAGGTGATGGCCATGCGTGAACGGTCGTTGCACGACGACCATGACAGTGACATTACATGATAAAAAGTGAAAGACGATGATACGTATGTATCAATTCTAAAATTTTTTCCATTATCAAAATGTAGCCCTACTTAAGTGAAGAGTCTGCTACAAAAAGAAATGAGATTTAATAAATTTTATATTAAAAAGAAATTTTATGTAAATCATTAATTATTGCAAAATACTCTCGCGCAATTGTTAATTAGGGATAATCTTTTATCGCCGTGTAATTTTATTAAAAGAAATACGGAATGTTAAAGAAAAACTTTCTAACATTAGAATGCGGATCGTTGTTCTGCGGATTCTCCGAGGTGTTTGTAAAATCGGTACCTAAGAGGAATTTAAAAGAGGTGCGCAGAAAGTCGACGCGCAGCGAGCGCAATTCTCTTTCGAGTTCGAACCGCTCGGTTAGTTGGAGGGAATCATACGGTTGCTCGTGCGAGTCCGAATAACACGTATTTCGTGTAGTCACAGAAGGTTCAGGAGAAGACAGAGGGAAAAAGGTCAGTCAAAAGAAAAAAGATCGTCAGTGTCGATGAGTCCGGGTGGTGGTAAACCGGTCTGAGAATGAAGGCGATTGGCCAGATCATGGCGTACGTGCTATTGGCAACTGCATTTACAAAAAATATGTTTGCAACAAGTGCCACGAACATCAAATTTTCAAGAGACAGCAACAAAATCGCATGGTACAATACAACGAAACTAGAGATGATCTCGGATGCTGTAGCGCCTCTGAATCCTGACACCGATGGTCTTTGGAGTATCCTAGTTAACGCATTTGAAAGCAAACCAGTTCAAGGTAAGACTTATTTTCACGTTTATTAATAAAACAAAAACGTAAGTAAATTAGAAAAGTTATTTTATGCGGTTATAGAATCAAGATTTGTGATTAGAAATGTGATTTATAAATATTATTTTTTTGAAATTAATATTATATAATTATTTTTAATATAATATATGTATCTACAAAAATTATGGATATATCCATTTATAATAGTCGCAATAGAGATTATATATTAAGATTATATATTATAAGATTATATAATAATTCAAAATAATATTTGTCCATAAAAAATACGGATGTCTACTTATAACAATCTTAAAATTACATTAAAATTGTTATGCAGATATTGAGTCTCGTACTTTTGGGGGAAACAAAAGACTTCAATTCATGCTGATGCCAATGATGTACAAAATGGGAGTGATGATGACAATGTTGATGGTAATAGCAGCAATCTCAGCGAAAGGACTTCTCATAGGTAAGCACCATTTTTTTTTTACACATTATAAAAAGTGTCGCCCACACGAATGTATAACGGTCTCATGACTACCTTGTGGATAGCGTAACCTGCATACATGATTAGATGATATTACTGACCTATTTACTGCATACGAATTCAGTATTCAAATCAATGTCAAATTTACATACGAAATTTTTTATTTATCCAGCATTTCTTACTTATTAAATTATTTATTTATTTAATTAAAAAAGTTCTCGTCGTATGTTTTTCATTAATATTGATCAATTATTGGACTTTATTTTTCATCATCGTGTATAATAAAATTTCGTTAACAATTGTAACTTGTTGACAATCGTAGACTTTTTTTTTATTACAAAATTTACTTCTCGACCAGTTTGGTTTACTTATGTATCCATCAGTAAAACTTAATAATGTGTATTAAGTTTTACATGATTTTCCAATTAATAAACGGAAGTCTTATTCTGCGTTTCACTACTTTCAGGAGCCATACTGCTACTATTTAAACTCAGCACCTTTCTAGCGAAACTTCATTCAGGCTGGCATGCACCGTCACCACAACCATGGCTATCACCGCAACCAGTTCACCTGCATGTTCACAGCGCTTTTCCAATTCACCCACACATTCACCCACAAATGTACCAAAGCTGGGATTCAAGTGGCCCCCCCGTATATGAGGACCAGTATTACTATAAAGGATAGAATTATATACACTAAAAGGACGATTTTGCTATATCTAAAATATATAAAAATTTAGCTATTAATTTTACAGATCTGAAAATAATTTTGTTAGACCGTTAAAATAATTATGTAGAATGCTCAAACTGGTTTCTAGAATATCAAAAGTTTTTGTAATGTTGTTTAATATACTTCAGATTCTTGCGTAATTATTTTGATGGTCCAACAAAATTATTTTCAGATCTATATTTATCTCAACATTGACATATTTCAGACAAAATCGTTCTTTTCGTGTATAAATTATACATATTCCTATCAAGAGATTTATACTGAAAAGTCATTTACGAAATAATGGTCATATCAA